AAAGGGTCTTTTCTGGGGTAAAGAAAACTACAATTTAGATAAAAAACAAACTAGTGAAAACATCATGAGGATAATTCTACATTACATTTCTGACAATAATTCTCTTTCACCTGAATCTTTCACACTGGAGCTTTAAAGCAGCAACAATTTTTCTAAATAGCATCTTTTTTTAAATTGAGTTTTCATATTCAAATGTGATCATTTTTCAGTTTCTTCCGTTGATTTCACACTTTTAGATGGAGGATCCAGTAAGTATTAAGTGACTGTAACTCAGTAACTGGAAGGTAAAGCACTGAGGGCGTGGAGCTGCGTGTGGTTATTGTTGTCAACAGCATGTCGTGACACCTGGGAAGCTTCTCTCAGAGGAAGCTCGTGTGTTTGAGTGTCTGCTTGTTTAAAGTGAGAATCCCCACAGTGCTGACAGAGATCGTGCTCTGTGTTCTGTGAGTGAAGTGCATGCTGCTCAGTGTGGTCAGAGATGGATCCCTCTGTCTACACGCCCGTCAACTGTTGGATAGAAAACTCAGAATTAAAACTGCTCTAATGTACAATGGAAACCTGGAAACATAAATAAAGGATTTAAGTAAGAGTCTGATATTTTTGTGCCTTGCAGACAAAGAGAAACAAAGCAAGCCGTGCCTCTGCTAACTCTTTTGTTGGATTGTAACACAAAGCATGATTCTTCAGTCGTGAGATCGGTGGAAACGTTATTTCATCGTCTCCTCGCCCTGAGACGAGTTCTTCTTGTGTGGTTTGTTTTTAAGGAGTTTGAGCTGGATGTGGTTGCCATAGTGAACGACACAGTGGGGACGATGATGACTTGTGCGTATGAGGAGCCCACTTGTGAGGTGGGACTGATCGCAGGTGAGTTTTAAACAACGGACTCCAAAAAACAAAAAGTCAAATCAGTCCAGCTCAGTGTCGAGGTTGACGGACCGTGTGTCCCCTCAGGGACGGGCAGTAACGCCTGTTACATGGAGGAGATGAGGAACATCGAGACAGTGGACGGAAATGAGGGTCGCATGTGCGTCAACATGGAGTGGGGCGCTTTCGGAGACAACGGCTGTCTGGACGACATCAGGACGCAGTACGACCAGGCCGTGGACGAGAACTCCCTCAACGAAGGCAAACAAAGGTCAGGGGGCTTCTGATGTTGAAGTGTCGTAGGTGGATCTAACAGCAGAGATGTGAAAAACAATCGTCCTCCCGAATCTGTTTGAAATAATTCAGCATCATCTGCTCAGTTACGGAACTTGAATTTCTTTAACAGGTGTTTTGTCATTCCTCTGTTGTGGTCAGGTACGAGAAGATGTGCAGCGGCATGTACCTGGGAGAGATCGTCAGGCAGATTTTGATTGATTTGACCAAGCGTGGCTTCCTCTTCCGGGGACAGATCTCAGAGACGCTGAAGACGACGGGCATCTTCGAGACAAAGTTCCTGTCGCAGATAGAGAGGTGAGTCAGACAAATCAAGACTATGTGGAGTATTTAAAGTATATTGAGAAAGTATTAAAAAAGGAAGGACGTCTAAAGTTGATAAAAAACCTGTGCTGGACAGAAGTTAGCTCTCCTGCCTTCTTCCCGTCTTCTTAAAACCAAACTATAATGTATTTATCAAGCTCTGTCAGTTTCAGTCAAGATTTCTAATTTCAACTGATGTTTTGATGTTTGTTCGTGGTTTTATCCTTCAACAACTGTGACATATAAAAGATCTGAAACACCAGGAAGTTAAATATATCTGCGAGTATCTCTTTATACACAATCTACGGTGAAACAAACAGCTGGTTAACTGAGAGGATAACTGCATGAAAGCTTGTGCTTAAGCAGCATTGTTCACGGAAAAGTAGCATCCAGAGGGATAACACCCCCATGAACGAGAGGAGGAGGGGGAGGCACTGTGACCGCTTCGTTTACACACTGTCTAAGCCTACCTTGGCCTCTGGCAACAGCTGTGAGGTATCCGGTGACTTTACTGCTGTCGGCTGACCCCTGACTCGCTCTCCCCCTGCCCCTCGTGCTCCACAGCGATCGTCTGGCGCTGCTGCAGGTCAGGGCGATCCTGCAGCAGCTGGGGCTCGACAGCACCTGTGATGACAGTATTATCGTCAAAGAGGTGTGTGGCACCGTGTCCCGCCGCGCGGCTCAGATCTGTGGAGCCGGGATGGCTGCCGTGGTGGACAAGATCCGTGAGAACAGAGGACTGGACCACCTGGACATCACCGTGGGCGTGGACGGCACGCTCTACAAGCTGCACCCACAGTAAGACACCAGAGGACGTGTTATTATGTTTCATCATGCTGCATCCGTTTTAATCTTCTCGTATCATTTGTGGACAAGGAGACGTAGGTCAGTGATGTCTATTTTTGGTAGTGCAAAAGTTAAAAAGCTCAGTCATTCATTTCTGTGCCCACCCTGCTACTAATCAACACTTAGTCTGAAAATGCAATTATAGAGTCAAATGCATTTTTCTATCTGACCAGACCTGAGCCCGAGGTGTTTTCATTTTCTACCTGACCCCGGACAGACCCGTGGTGTCTGGCTGAGGTAGAAACGCTCGACAGCAGAGTCACGAAGAGGAGAGTTGACCGACAAGGTTGACGAGGATTTGGTGTTGATAGATAATTCAAACGTCTAAAGAAGTCTAAGTCTTGAGTTTGAGCACAAGCAGGAGCTGTTTGAGCGCTCAAAGGGTTTTGAGTAAAAGCATCTTTAACGGTAAATCAGCAAGTCCTTCTCTGAAGCTGCTGTCGTCCGTGAAAGGCCGAGAGTCAGGTCTGGGTCATGAGGCTGAGATCCTGGTTCTACGTCCAATCGAGAGCGGACTCATTGAGCAGGATTCCTATGTTGAGTAACAGAACTCTCCAGATTTCGTCTTCCTGAACGAACGTTCCTCGCTCCACTCTGCTGCTCGTCCTCGTAGTAGAACCATTTGTTGCTGGTACTAAAGAGCTTCCTGTCGCCCTCTTCTCCCCCTCAGTTTCTCACGGATCTTCCAGCAGACGGTGAAGGAACTCGCCCCGAAATGTGACGTCACCTTCCTGTTATCCGAGGACGGCAGCGGCAAGGGGGCCGCCCTCATCACCGCCGTGGGCTGCCACCAGAGAGAGCTGGAGGCGCAGCAGCACTGAGGAGCTCCGCCCACGTTTGTCCTTGAGAACTACCTGCTGCTCCACCGTGACCTTCACCCCCCCACCTCCCCCCTCGCACAGCCCAACTCCACCTACCCTTGGCAGCCGTGACTCCACCTCTGCCCCCCCCTGGCCCACCACCACCACCACCACAGCCAGAGAGACATGCTGCATGCGTAAGGAAGTAAAACTGAGTATCTAAATATTTATTTATACAGCTCCAGAGGTTTTTATTATTTCCATGTTTGTACATTTTCCTCAATAGCTTGTCCATAATCTGATACATTTAAAAACTCCTTAACTGTGCAATATTTGTGTATTGCTAATTTTATTTTTATATGGAGGCAAATATATAATTGTATTTATATAACTGAGGCCACTTTGAATCCCAGAGTTCATTAGGGTTTTGCAACATAGACACAAGAAAAATGTCTGCACTTTTTATATGAGGGTGACAACAGCAGCATTTTGATGTAACTTCAGAACGAAGGACGTCCTTCTCCCTGAATGATGAAACTCCGCTGGTGCAGAAAACCGGCTCCAAACACAAGGGCTCGCTGCAAAGGGTTGAATGCAAGAGTCACGGCTGTTAAAACCATCCTCATTCTGCGACATGCTCACAATACGTGCTAAGCTACTAACCCCTCTTTGTGTAACTGTCAGTGTAACTCACGTATTAACGTATTCCAGCTGCACCGTTCCATTTATTCCTCAAGTACCGAGAAAAAGTCCCGGCGAAAGAAAGTGATAGCGTATCCTGTTGCTATTTGTGAAGTACTATACTTTTGGTGTTGTGATGAATCCACACTTCTACTCATCGTTTGTGCAAAGAATAAATGTATATTGGGCCAAGAGAAAACGAGTGGACACTACGAGCGCTTCTGTGTGTATTTGTGGCTGAGTGTCAGTGTGTCTCCTGTGACGACCTGTAGCTTTCAATGTCCAAAGCTCTGTCAAGACTGCATGCCTTACATTAAGACGAACGGAGAGTGCTGAGATATTTCCTCTTCTTATTTTATTTTTTACATCAATATAGATTTGTGAACAACACGGTGAAAAGTGAATTCATTAAATTATATTTTGTCGTGGAGTAAATCCTGGTGTCTCTTTCTTAAGATGTTCCAACAGCAGCACGGGTGTGTCTGAACCGCAACACTCTGCATCACGAAACACAGGGCGGCGTCGAGAAGAGAGAGATTATCTTGTCGTGACGTTGACGCGCGCTGCAGCTCAGCATTAAAAAACAGAACCGTCGACCGCTCCGACCACAGGCAGCGGTGTGTTTAACGAGGGAGGAGGAGGAACCCTTTGAATATTTAATGTTCATTTCCATAAAAGTGTTTTTTTTTGTGAAACTCTGCAGCATGAGAAACGAGGTCCAGTGTATTTCGAAGGAGAACGCAAAGTGTTTTTATTCCATCAGTAGCTGCAAACTCTTTCAGAGACGTTTCTATTGAACAGTATTACAGCAAACAAACAAAATGGCTGAAAACTTAATATGAGTCATGATTCCTCCCCTGCAGAGAGTCAGTCTGTTGCTCCTTCCTGGAGAACTGAAGTCAGTCCATGCTGGAGGGTTTTGACAAATGCTCGAGGAACGACGTAGATTATTTGCGTTATCTTTAATTACACATATTTCATATCAGTAATTAAATTTAACTTTTATTATAACCAATCATACAGTTGTTTCTAGATTCATTGATTAAATGGTTTTAATTTATGCAAAGTCAGAAAATAACGAAACACGGTGTCCTCGAACTTATTGTTTAAGAAAAACTGTGAATATCTGATTTTAGCTGATTTCATGTTTTACAGTTTAACCATAAATTAGTCTTGAAAAAAAACAAAAAGTAAATATATCAAACTTGAATCAAGACAATAAACACATTTTCAACATAAAATATAAATACTCAACTTTTCTGCATAGTTTATTCTATCACGTACAGTTTTTATATGAGAAAACATGAATGAAGATACTGGTATGTCAGTGAAAGAGGATATTATCGGTCAACTGATGAAGAATAAGGCGACTTTGTTTGTTTAAGCGTAAACAAGCAGAGGGGACATAACAGCAACCTCTGCCCATGAAAGTACGATGAGATCCAAGAACCACGCTGTGCTCAGATCTCCAGACCTGCTGCCACCGTCACTGAAGTTCATCCATCCACAGCCAGGCTGCAGCACAGACACGACAACTCACTGCTGGAACACTCGTTCGGCTTAAACACACAATCGTACACCCTGTGTGCAACCTGAACACCCGCCCACACATTCAATCAACTCATTAAGCCATTCGTTATGATTTACCGTGCATCTTTGTCTTAATTGCACCGTTCGTTTCTCGTGTTCTTTTCCACTGTGGTTCATTTAATATGTTACATCAGCTTCTTCTCTTTGCACTGACGCCATGCGCTCACTCTCCCATGACTAATAGACACTTTTTAATTTAAGATAAGATCCCACACCGGGGAAATTCACTTGTTACAGCAGCAGAGAGTCAGAAGGAGGTAGACAAGAGAACAACGTGTGAAAGTGTAAAACAGAATCAAATAGAAAATAAGAATAAATACAAATATAGACGGCTGTTAACTGAATGTAGATGTTGAAATAGACAAACATTACAACTGTCAGCTCCCTTCAGCGCCGTCCGCATTTAATGTTATTCATTTATTATTTCCTTTTTCTTGTCGAAGGGTTGCGGGCAGAGGATGTGGCACCAAACCCAACGAGGCAGATTGTGATTTGTGAATATGGGCTTTACATGTGATGACATGTGACATACATACAGGCTGTTATATGCATGTTACACAACATGTTTATGGCACGGTGAAACTCTGCCCCTTTAAAGGACCAGTGTGCAGAATTTAGTGACATCTAGTGGTGAGCATTTAAACATGAATCAGAGTCCTTCATTGTCAAATGTTCAACATTAAAACAGTGAAACTTTGTTTTAGCAGCAATCATCCGACTTTTAGAAATCAGAACAAGAATCAAGAAGTAAAATCTAGATTTTTATATAAACACAGAGAAAGAAAGTAGAAACACAAGTAAAGTGAAACAGTGTAAGTTGTACAGTGAGACAGTCCACCTGAGTATCAGTGCAATAATAATTTTTACAAATATTACAGAGATTATGAAAATACACTCGTGAAAACGTTTATACAATTATTTCATATACATTTTTTTATTCTTGGTCATGACAGGCACATTTTGATCTGTGGCATTTTAGCCTTTAATGGTAATAGTACTGAAGTGGGTATGAGGGTATGCAAACAAAAGTTCAAAATCTGAAGACAAATTCACATTAAAGTGTTAAAGAGAAATCATACAACAAATGTCACTCAAAGCTCAATCAATTCAGATTTACAATAAAAGTGTTGTTAGGACTCCATGGTGTAGGTTACCATTACCCCAATGTGTTGTTTTTGAGGAGTTGCAAATACAGTATATAACCATGTACATGGTCTTCACTACATGCTAACACATACTACTAGCTAAAGGTACTGTTTATATGCACGATGTATGGCTAATGGATACACAGTCATTTGGGCAGCAGGTGACTGGATTGAGCTCCAGGTATTTTTTCTCAGGTGGTCTTGAATCACTGAGGGCCTGAAATGAAGACAAGACAGATGCCAAAACTGAGTCATGTTCCACTTTATTTAAAGCAAAGTCAGTGATATACTTCTTTGTTTCCCCACTACCTGTGAGGATATGAAATGTTTGCCTCCAGCACAAGTAACAAACTTGTGGAGATTCTCCGTTCATATCACAGTGTTGCATTTTATCTTAAGTGTTTGTGTTTGCACAGTTGTTCTTGGCAGCCATCACAACCACACAAAGTATGAATCACACATGAGCAGTTTTACCTGTAACCCAACCCAGGCAGGTGTGGTCCCTTGCAAATCCAAAATATTCTCTTACGTGTCAAACAATTGTTCTCTATCAAGCAAAACAGGCACAAGGGATTTGAAATCCTTTTATACTTCCTGGTTGTACCATGTTTGAAAAGAAGGGGGAGACAAAGTGGGAGCGAGTCTCTTTTTTAAAAAAGAAATAGATTTTCATGAAAGTAGTGGTTACATAGATGTTTATCTCTATTGTTACTTTGCCATTTGTAAACATAATGCGACAAAACGTAAATCTATTTATCAAAATGTTCAGGTTTATCCACAGTGAGCTACCCCCTGGTGGTTTGGTCCTAATCACTGCCAGGGTATATAAGGAGTAGTTGTGGAGCTACTCCTGTTTGCTGTTCATTTGTGTTAAGTTACTGTGCTGCTGATAGAATTAATATATCCTGGGGAAAAAAAGAAAGCCTGTGTGACTTGCTTCTTTATAAGTATAGTCCAGCATGTTGCACTGGCTGAATATCTTCAGGTGAGCAGAGGTAAAGTCTTCAAATGTGATTTAATGTTTAAATACATTTAAACGTTGCTCTTCTCTACATAAATAAAACATTTACATGTGTATCACTTGTTTTGTAATTGATGAATGCTAATCTAGTTTTTAACTAATGTTAATGTTTCAGTGACATTGTTGCTTAAAGGCCTAACTCCTAATGGAGCCACATGTTATGACCCCAGCATGAATACTCACACACTGTTAGGGTTTGCTGTGGCTTTGCTACCGACCAGCTGATTTCATTAGCATCTGACATGTATCACAGTTTTGGAATAATTGTTGTCAAGCTAATGCTAAATGTATCTCGTGTGGAGATAAAGGAGGTTAGCATTTATTCGGTTAGCTCACCTGTTAGCTAACTTCTGCTAATGCTAACCTAACTAATGTTTGTCCCCTACACTTTGACTGTCTGTGCAGAAATGTCTGCTGTTACTGCCATGCTTTAATTTAGTTGATATCATGGGATAATAGCTGCTGCTGTACTTGTGTTTGTTTGTTACAACAGCTGCGATTAAAGCTGTCACTTTAGCCTGTAGCTGTTGTGATCATCGAAACTGTGATTCTGTAATTTTAAGATTTACACGTTGGTCCATGAAAAGTATGGAAGAATTGTTAAGGAGCACTTCTATACTGTTGGGGTTAGCATTTTCTCTTTGGTCAGTGTTTCCATCTTGGATATTAAACAGTGAAAGTCAGTCAATCATATTCAATAACCAGAGCCTACAACTGAAACTAGTGTAACAAGGGTTTCAGTGCTTGCTGCTAACTGCTAATGCTACATTGTGAGTAGGGCTGAGCCATTAAAAGTAAAGAAAAAAAAATCATACCACTGTATATGACCACATTGTTAGTTTTAAAGTTTAAAATGTGATTTTCTTTCCAGAGTGAAGTTTGTGCTTTAAATTCTTCTTTGTGAGCAGAGAATGACAACAAAACATTTTACAAATCTGAGTAGATCAATTGTGTTATGTCATAAGCATTACATTAAATTATATAGAACCTTTTTTATTTTGCGAAATAAGTCTTATATTGCCCAGCCCTAATAACACTTTTTTATGTGTTTACTTTCAGGAATCCACGCGTTCCTTTGCACGAACCGAGGGAAGAATCTTCTTTTTACTTGTTGGATTAATTTCATCTTCATTGACCCCTCTCCCTGGTTTCCTTGATGAGGGCAAGAGGGTTCACTGTCACATCAACTTCAACACTAAGTGGACTCACCGAAGAAATGCCATCAAGGTAGGACAATGTGCTGATGTGGATAGGAATGCGACCAAGTCGGGAATGGCAGCACGACGTGAGTACACAAAAACAACACAACAGCGGAACTAGTCAGCAAAAGTTTTTCATTCCGAATCATCTTGCAAGCTTGGCTGACAAAATTGTCCATCGTGTGTTGTATTTTATTATAACACACATATTTTATACATTCATACAGATGTACCACATGTAACGCACGCACACACGCACGCACACACGCACGCACACACACACGCATGCACACACGCACGCACACACGCACGCAAAGACACACTCAAAGACACACTCAAAGACACACGCAAAGACACACGCAAAGACACACGCACAGACACACACATGCAAATAGTATTCATTAGTGTTTTAATGCTGCTATTTCAAATGGTACAAGATCTTTTTCTATGTGAACCTCTTCATTGAAGTA